CGGACCCAAAAAAAAAAAAAGCTCAGAACTGAAGATCCTTTTACCATTCTCAAATGCAAAGAGCTGACACAAAACATATTCACAACAGTTGGAGTATTAGAAGGGATTTTGAATGATCACTTTCCCTCTCCTCCCTGTATCATTCTTTCCAACCATTACCTCAATTCCAGCCACAAAAGTCAACATTCAAATGAAAGGCAGCAAAACTGACTGCAGATAACATCCTTACTATAAAATCATACCATACTTGGTTCCTCATTATGTGCTCAGAAAGTCAATTCTCCCTATTACACCGGAGAAAAAGCAGATGGTGCTAAAAGTTGACAGACCCAATCAACCTGAGGGAGAAACACAGCTGTTACATCTAATTGAAGCAACACTTGGTGCCTGTTTTACAGATAGTGGATGGTAAGATGACCAATGCTCAGATCATTGTTCTCATTGACAATGCCAGGATGGCCATGGATGACTTCAACCTCAAGTAAGTTCCCTCCTCACCGTGCTACATGGATTGGGTGTTTGCTTTACCAAAGGAAACCTCATTTTGTCATTGCCCATGTCTCAGAATCTTACTAAATTATACAAAAGGCAAACACAATATGCAGTATTTGAACTGACTGATTTAAACCATATATAAAATGCACATGTGAGGAAAGAATCAGATGACATTAAATAATTCCTAATTTTAGGTATGACAGTTTATGTTTTTTTAGAAAAGAATTTTTTTTCTCTTAAAAGATGCATTTTGAAGTATTTGGGGTTAAAATGTTATATCTATAATTTACTTTGGAAAACCTCAACAAGGAATATAAATAAAGTAAATACAGCAAAAAAATAATGGTTTCTAAACATAAGGTTATAGGTCTATGAATGTTTATTGTTCTATTTGCTCTGTGCAATTAAAAAAAAACTGACATTTGAGCTCAGTGCCAGTATATCTGTAATCCTAGCTACTCAAAAGACTAAGACCTGAGGAACATGTTTCAAAGCCAGCCTGGTCAAGAAAATCTGTGAGACTCTGGTCTCTAACCACCAAAACGTTGGAAGTAGATCTGTGATTCAAAGTGATAGAGTACTAGCTTTGAGCAAAAATGCTTAGGGACTAAGCCTAGGCCCTGAGTTCCAGTCCCAGGACCAAAATAAGTAGAGGAAGAAAAGATGTTTGAGCTGGGTACAAGTAGTTCATGCTTGTAATCCTAGTTATTCAGGAAGCTGATTACAGTTCAAAGCCAGCCCAAGCAGAAAAGTCTGTGACACTTTCATTTCCAATTAACTAGAAAAAAATTCACACACGCGCGCGCGCACACACACACACACAAACACAATGGAAGTGGCAGTATGGCACTAAAGTGGTAGAGTGCCAGCCCAGGGAGAGCCTGACATTTGTAAATGTAAGTGTGTAAATGACAGCCTGCACACACTCATTTTCCCAGGACGAATCAACTTACACAACTGTAACCCCTCTAAATATCACCTTGACAATAAAAAAGTAAGAGATTCACTTCTAAAGTAAAGTGAGTCCTTACAAAGCCCTTGGCCTTCCAACAACAGGTATACTCTTCCCTTCCTTCCAACCAAAGGTATGAAAATGAACACTCCTTTAAGAAAGACTTGGAAATGGAAGTGGAGGGCCTCCGGAAGACCTTGGATGATCTGACCATCATCACGACAGACCTGGAACAGGAAGTGGAGGGAATGAGGAAAGAGCTCATCCTCATGAAGAAGCGCCATGAGCAGGTAGGGCTGTCCCTAGAACTCCAGGCAGTGAGTTCAGCTCTTAGTTGTCATTTTTCAGAGCAACCCAGTAGAAAACACCACCCGAATGCCATTCCTACTGTCTTCATAAAGAATCATACAAAACTCTGGCATCAATGGCTCAGGCCTGTAACCCCAGCTACTCAGAAGAGTTGAGATCAGAGAATTATGGTTCAAAGCCAGCCTGGAGAAAAAAATGCCCAACTAGAGGCATGGCTCAAGTGGTAGAGCACCAGCCATGAGCAAGCCAGCCAAGAAAAAAAATGTAAAGCTCTAATTTCAAGCTCTGGTACTGACAAGTACATAAAACAAGAACCATAAGTATCTAATTTCTCAAATTACAAGGTCATCTATTCGGATATTAAACTCAACTACTAAAATGCAATCAAAATTAGTGATGAATTGGCCAACAGTAAACACACTGTTTACTTAGACTTGTTTGTTAATATACTATAAGAATAAATGAGTGGCAAACTGAGGGATGAGACAATAAAAAGAATCTGCCATATATAAAGATAAATATGACTAGTGGCAAAAATTAGGAATCCTAACCCAGAAGCATTGAACTGACTTTAAAGGGTTTCCATTCATTTCAAGTTTCCTGAGACTGATACAATGATGGACAGGCAATTTCCATTTCAGGGCAACAAAAAAAGTTGCATCTGAACATCAAAGGGCCCAGTTTCTGAATAGCTGGTTAGACAATGGTTCTTAATTAAACCTTTCCTGTGGCAGCTTCATATTTATGAAGTCCTAAGGCAACAGCTCTACAAATTCACGAGGCAAAGGATTGCAAAAGCAACCTTTTGGATTTTGTTTACTGAGCTGCTTCCCAAAAGCCTTGGCATAATACCAGAAATGTCAGGCACGTGGTATGGCTGGAGTGATTGAGGGACTGCAGAGTTCAAACCCCAGCACTGCCTAAAAAAAAAAAAAAAAAACCGAGGAAAATATTCAACAAGTTAATTGTACAGTCAGGTGGTGCCCCAGGCTATTGCTGGACAGGACTTCAAACATTCCGAGAGCATAATTGTCTCTGGAATATTTGCAAACAAGGGTGAAGCCAATAATCACAGAGGCATTTTGTGCTTGTGATTTTTCTTTATTCTATAAAAATTTTAGGGGCTGGGAAGGTGGCTCAGTGGTAGAGCGCTTGCCTTGCATGCCTGAGGCCCTGGGTTCCGTTCTTCAGCACCACATAAGCAAAAAAGAAAAAAGCCGGAGTGGCGCTGTGGCTCAAGTGGTAGAGCGCTAGCCTTGAGCTGAAGAGCTGAGGGACAGAGTTCAGGCCCCACGACCAAACCCAAAAAAAAATTTTTTTTTAAAGGAAAAGATGTTTACAATGTTCTTTTGGTTTGTTTGTTTGTTTGTTTGCATCCTGTGGCTTGAACTCAGGGCCTTGGCCACTGTCCCTGAGCTTCTTTTACTCAAAGCTAATGCTCTACCATTTTGAGCCACAGTGCCACTTCTGAATTTTTCTGAGTAGTTTATTGGAAATAAGAGTCTCACGGACTTTCCTGCCCCAGCTGGCTTTGAACTCTGATCCTCAGATCTCAGCCTCTTCAGTTGCATGAGCCACCGATACCCAATTTGTATACAGTGTTTTGTTATCGATGTAAATAAGTTAAAAAAAAAGAAACAAACAATCACACCAGGGAAAGTATAACAATCACACAAGCTGAATGAAGGAGATGAAGATGTAGCTACCTCTGCCAATCAACTCAAGAATCCAGCCTTCTGATTGTCACAACCAATTAATTTTCTTCCTCTGTTCTTAAACAGGAAATGGAGGAGAACCCAGTGCCAAGTGACTTCAAGGTCAATGTGAAGGTAGACACTACTCCAGGAGAAGATCTAATTAAGGTCCTAGAGGATATGAGACAGGAATATGAGCTCATAATAAAGAAGAAGCATCAGGACATTGACGCTTGGTTTAAAGAGCAGGTAAGAGAAAGGTGGCCAGCCAGATGTCCATGGCTCCATACCTGTTATCCTAGCTATGCAGGAGGCTGAGATCTGAGGAGCATGGCAGACATATCTCAGAGACTCTTATTTCCAAATGAACCAGCAAAAATACAGAAGTGGAGCTGTGGCTCAAGTGGTAGAACAGCAGTTTTGAGTGACAAAACTAAGGGAGAAGGCCCTGGACCTGAGTTCAAGTAGCAGAGAAAGACAGACAAAGACAGGCAGGGAGAGAGAGAGAGAGAGAGTAAACCTGAAAGTTTTCACTGCTATAGAATCCTGATGTTGATGTCTCTGCCTGTGTTTTCCTCACAGTCTACAGCCGTGTCCCAGGAGGTGGCCAGTTCCAGTCCAGCGGCTGTGCAGGGCAGCCAAAATGACATCCATGAGCTGAAACGAACTTTCCAAGCCTTAGAGATTGACCTGCAGACACAGCACAACAAGGTGACTTGGAGCTAAAATTCCTAGGTCCAGTATCACCTCCTCCACAAAGCCCATTCACCAACAAAAAGCCAGAATTAGAAGTGTGGCTCAAGTAGTAGAGCACCAAACTTGAGAAAAAAAGGACAAGAGAGCACAAGACCCCGAGTTCAAGTTCAAGCTCCAGTACCAGTGCACACACACACACACACACACACACACACACAGATATTCAGTTGAGTTTAAATTCTAGAGAAATATCCAATTTTTTCTTTCTCATTAGAGTATGCCCCCAGGTAATTTGGACATGGTGTTTGTGACACATTTGTCCTAAAATAGTTATTTGCTGCTCAGCTGAAATTCAAATTCAACCGTGTGTCCTCTATTGTCCTCCCTCCTCTGAGGATACAAAGAGATAGCATCACCAGTTGCTATCCTGACAGAATGCACGAAGGCAATAAAGTACAGTTCAGAAGAAGGAATATGCCCAATTCCCAATACATAGCGTAGATCATCAACACTGAAGGAGGGTGGAAACATTGCCCGGAATTCCCTGATGCACTGATTGTGTGTGTGTGTGTGTGTGTGTGTGTGTGTGTGTATGTGTATGTGTGTGTGTGTGTGTGTTTATGCCCCAGAAATGACATCAGAAGTTCCAATACAGCCAACCCAAGCTCCAAACTTCCCATTCAACCTGGTTCTCATCTTTAAGCCCTCAGAGTTTACCAATAAACCGGGCAGAGTGGCCAACACAAGCTAAATACTACACACATACACACACACACACACACACACACACACACACACACACATTATTAAAGCAAGGAAGGATCAGTCAGTGAAAGATCTCTCACTTGCTCTTTCAGAAATCTGCTTTGGAGCGCATGTTGTCAGAGACCCAGTCCCGGTACTCCTGCCAGCTCCAGGACATACAGCAGATCATCGCCCGCTATGAGGAAGAACTAAGGCAGCTCCGCTGTGACCTGGAGCGTCAGAACACTGAACACAAGCTGCTCCTGGGCATCAAAACCCACCTGGAGAAAGAAATCGCCACCTACCGCCAGCTCCTGGAGGGAGACACTGACGGGTGAGGCTGAGGGGGTGAAGAGGAACCTTTAGGGCACACGGCCCTCGTGGGTCTGTCAGAGGAAGGATAATGTTGACTTTCTCTGAAAGCATCTACATAAGGTCTGCTTCACTCGACAGCCAAGTGTGAACCAATCAGCTTGAACTCCCTAGAAGAAAAGATTCACATTCTGAATGGTTAAAGTCAATCTAGTAAGGACTGAAAGGAGAAAGCAACTAAGAAGGTTTGGGGTATCCTTTTTCCCAGAGAACACACACATCTTTGTGTGCTCAGAGTTTACCAGACAGAATGTGCTTTAGCCAAAGAGAAGGAAAAGATTCATGAGAGAAAGAGAGAGAGGTGTCTAGATTGTTTAGTGTAGTATTTCTGACCACCCCAGGAAATAATAGCTGACCATAAAGGGTTCCATACATTCCATGACCCAAAAGAAAGGCTTACAAGTTGGATTTTTATTATTGTTGATGTTTTATTTATTGTTTTGTTCTTTTTTGCTTTTTGGTGCTGGTACTGGGGCTGGAACTCAGAGCATCTTGATTTTTCATTTAGCCTTTTTCACTGAAGAAGAGTGCTCTACAACTTAAGCCACATCTCCACTTCCAGCTTTTTGCTGGTTAACTGGAGATACAAGTCTCATGGATTTGTCTGCCCCAGTGACTCCTAACCATGATCTTCAGATCAGCCTCCTGAGTAGTTAGGGTCACAGGCATGAGCTCCTAATGCCCAGATAGAAATTTTGTTTCTGTGTTAAAAAAAAAATCATTGGACCAAACGTTGGCCAATCTAAGAAGCTGAGAAACTCTGACCCTGGAAGGGATCCAACAAAGTATTTGGTGGGATGCAAGGAAAAGGGAAAGGTTTGGGAGACTCAGACCTCAGAGATCATAGCAGGCAGTCCTCATGATTTTTTGCATCCAGAACAAGCAATGAGGAACTAAGGAGCTAAGAATTCCTCATTTGGGAGGATGGGAAGGGATGGGAAGGGGAAACAAAGGAGGAGGCTACAATGCTTGATAAGAAATGTACTCATTATCTTGCCCATGTAATTGTAACCCCTCTGTACAGTATTTTCACAATAAAAAAAAGAAATTAAAAAAATTCCTCATTAAGGAGCTAACAGTTCACAAGCAGGCAAAGGATGTTCATTCATGCTGAGAAGATTTTATGATTATTGCTTAGGACTCAAGTAAACTTTAACCTTTCTCTGCCTTTCAGGACAATGGAAGAATCTGAGTGGACCATGAAAGGTAAGAAAAGTCACCCATCATTTTGATCTGCATTTTAAAAAGTAATAAATTTTTCACCCATCCTGTAGTTAGTCCTAACATTTTCTGTTCTCCAGATACCCTGTGCTTAATCTTTACTTGTTCCCAAATAGACAGAAATCCTCCATGAACAAATTAAGCAATAGAACAAAGTGAGTTCTCATTATTGTCCTCAACAGCACACACTTTGAAAAATCTCTTATTCAACATGCTTAGGATAGTTTTAGAATTGTTTTGCTTTGTTTTTAATTTTGAAACATTTGCATATCATCACGAGACATCTTGAAGATAGGACCCAAAACTAAACACATTTATATACATTTCTAAGGTATCTACCTTATGTAGATGGCTAGTGGGTCACTCCATACAATATTCTAATCAATATTTTTCATCCAACAAAAATTTGATTTTTATATTTTTAGTAGTGGGATTTTTTGGCTGTACTGGTTGCTTTTTGTTTTTGTTTTCTATTGAACTCAGGACTTTGTACTTTCAAGGCAGGCACTCTACCACTGAAGCCAGGCCTCCGGCCCCTTTTTGCATTGGTTATTTTTAAAGTCAAGTCTTGCTGTATGCCTCAGCCATCCTGGATTGTGCTTTCTGGGAGTGACAGGTGTGTGGCACAGCACATAGCCATTGGTTGTGATGGGAGACCCTCAAACTGTTATGCCTGGCTGGCCTCTAACTTCAATGTCCTGTTCTCTACCTTCCAAATAGCTAGGATTACTGGCTGGAGCCACGGCACCTGGCTATGAAAACAAAGTTTCACACTGTGGAAATTTCCACTTGTAGCATCCTGTGACTGCTCAAAAACTTTTGGATTTTGGAGCATTTCTGGATTTGGGAGTTTTGGATAAAAGAAGTTCAATCTGTATTTGAAAACATTTTACAAACAGAAAATAGGTTAAAATGGTAATTCATGGTATCTGTCTCAATTAATGGAATCAATTTCCTAAACTCTTAGAAAATTAACAGATCACTTTCCAAACTTGGTTCTATTCAACAGTCTCATGAAATTTGGCTGGGATATTTTTTAATAATATGTTCTGTGGTCAGATGAGGATGAGAACACTATGCTAGGAGCTTCTTCTTAAGCATGTTGCATTATAGTAATGCAACATTACTATAATGCAACATGCTGGGATGCAGAAAGGGGTAAGGAAGAAAAAGAAACAGTAACAAAAGTTTAACTTAGTTTAACCCCAGTATCTACCTATGACCTAAGTATATTATTATCTTAGGTGATCATAAGTATACCATAGAAAACTTCTAGGACTTGCTTGTAACTTGCTAGCTTTTTGGTGGTTCATTGGAGATTAGAGTCTTATGGACTTTCCTACCTATTATGCCCCTCACATCTCAGCCTCTTGAGTAGCTAGGATTATGACTGTGAGCCACCAGCATCTGGCTAACACTAATTTATGATCAAACAACTCTCAGGCATAGGGATTCAGAATACTAGAGTTGGGCACATCACCATAGAATTACCCTTCCACAGATTTCAACCTATGGCCCCTTAGGCTCTCCTTAACCATGTCCAGGGATGGGAAGCCTTGCTTTTGATGGCTTAATCCAATCCACTTGCAAGAGATTTGCTATTATCCAAGTTTTTCCTTGTATCACCATTTAATGGTTTTGATTTTCCCTGTGGTCCTGAGTCAGTTGATCAGTGTGTGAACAAGGCATTTATCCAAACAAGGCATCTCTTTGAAAACAATGTTCATGAAGAACATCCCTGGTTTCACACCCATCCATCATATGCCATGCTTTCTAGATAATAAGAGGAGGTGTTCCAAATGGTATTTTATGATCTGCCAGCTCAGAGAATTTGTGATTCAAGAGTCACAGAGCCCACATGGGCAAAAAAGACTCTTCAGGTGCTTGGAGTCAGAAAACACCTGCCATTGCAGGTATACCTAGGATGAAGGCCTTGGTCTCCAGAGAACAAGAGAGAGACCTTCATTTCATAAAGTATGGGTGATAAAGGTCTTCATGGGGACAACCCTGTACCTTGTATCAGAATGGTCCTTAGTGAACATTCTGGAAGGCACAGAGAGGCTGCAGGGCTGAGAGCAGGGAGTAGAACTGAGTATATAGGGGGCAGCCTGGCACTGACTTCTTGGGTGCTTCTTCCCTCAGCATCTGCAGCTCCCACACTCAAGGCCATCACCCAAGAGACCGTCAATGGAAGAATCGTTCTTTCTCAAGTGAATGAGATTGAAAAGCAAATGTGAGGCCAATTTTTTTTAATTCTGCTTGTTGTAAAAACTATTGTTCCCCACCGTGGAAAGCACTTGAGTCCTTAAAGGTATTCATGGAATGAGCAAAATCACAAGCTTGTTTTTTCTCTAGTAATCTTACCATGCTGTTCATATACTGCTGGAATTTTTTTGATCAAGTTTCATGAAATTAAAACTCTGCTTTCTTACTACAATCCTCAGATTCCTGTCAAGATGCATCTTGGTTTGGAATCAATAAAACTCCCCACATCCTGTATCATGTCTTTTTCTTCGGTCACATGGCCGCAGGGGGCCTCCTTCTAATGGAAGGTTCTCATGGCATAGTCCATGAAAGATTCAGAGGGTTCTTCATGCTTTTGATGTATCTGCAGCAGTCAAACACTGGACAGAATTGTCGCCCCAAAGCTAAGCAACCCAGGAATGACATGCAATTCTTCAGAGGTTGTGCAAATATTACTTGTAGAAAGAAGTAAGGGAGTGCTAGAGAAAAGGAAAGCTTTAGTGAATCTGAGATCCACAACTGACAAAAAAAAAAAGGAAAACTGTTAAAGGACCAAAAATGAGAGTTCAATCTAAGGAAAAAAGATGACAGGAGGAAACACTTATTACAGATGGAATCTAAGTCACTAAAAAGTCCTATCCAAGACCCAAACAGAAAATATTATGATACTTTGAGTAATTCTCTCATGGAAAGGATTGATTTTGATTTTTTTTTACTGAGCCTCTGCTAAAACTGATCATAATGGCTGGTGTTTCTGATTCTTAATGCCCAGAGTTCAAGCCTCAGGAGAGGCACCAAAAAAAGAAGAAAAAAAAAAAGCCAGGATAATCACATTGTTGGAAAAATGTGCTACTGGCTTAACTAATTTATAAATTTCTTGGTATACAATTTAGAATTTGTCTTTGTTATTTGGCTATTTCAGAGAGACTCAAAATAAGAAATACACAAACATCTTCAATGAGTTCCTTTGTGCCATATTTGTCGGTAGTGGCATTTGATGTCATTGTGGGTAAGAATGGATCCAAATGCAACTTAATTAGTTTCCTTTTTTTTCATTTCACTTTACTAAAAGAATCTCTTTATGCTAATAAATTAAAGAGTCCCTAATCAGATCCTCTTTTTTTGGTAGTACTGAGGTTTGAACTAAGGGCTGAGTACCTGCTAGGCAAGTGCTATACCACTTAAACCATACCTCCAACCCTTTTCAGTCTGATTATTTCTGAGATAGGGTCTTACTTTTGGCCCAACCAGCTTGGATCTCCATCTTCCTATTTACACTTCCCATCATAACTGGAATAATAGGCAGGAACCACCACATCCAGCTTCTCTGTTTAGATGGGATCTCACAAACTTAATTTTGCATATAGCTGGGAATACAGGCATGTACCACCAATATCTGGCCTATCTCTTTTTTTTTGAATTCTAAAAATGTTCATAAAATACATAGTTGGCCATCCACATATCATCATGTTCTACATCTATGGAGTCAATCAACTTTAGGTCAAAAATATTTTCTTTTTAAAGTATCTTTACTAGCCGGGAGCCGGGAGCTCACGCCTATAATCCTAGCTACTCAGGAGGCTAAGATCTGAGGATTGCAGTTCAAAGCCAGCCCAGGCAAGAAAGTCCATAAGACTGTTATCTCCAGTTTACCACTCAGAAAACCAGAAGTGGCACTGTGGCTCAAATGGTAGAGTGCTTGAGCTGAAGAGCTGAGGAACAGTGCCCAGCCCCAGAGTTCAAGCACCACGACTGACTATATACATATATATATATATACATATACATATATATTACTAAACATGTACAGACTTTTATTTCTTCTGTTGTTACTCGCTGAACAATATAGTATATAACAATTTACATAGTATTTATATTGTACTAGATCCTGTATAAAGATATTTTGCATCATTTTACATTAGGATATATGAAAATGTCAGTTATACCCAAATACTAAGCCAGTTTATGTAAAGGACTTAAGTAGCCACAGATTTTGGTATTTGCCCTGAAACTAATTCTCTGTGAAAACACGGGACAACTGCTTATGTTTTTCTCAAGATGAAATTTGAACTTTGCTAGGAAAAACAATATCCCTAGAAGAATATTAAAAAATAATATGACAAGCTAAAAAGAAAGTTATTTCAAAAAACTCAGAAAACAATTACTAACTTTCCCCCTTACAATTATAGTTTGTATATGACTAGGTAACAACAAATCTAACATATGATTTTTCTTCTAATGACCTTAAATATCTCCCAAGTCTTATTTAATTTTCACTCTATCAAATAACGTAACCAACTCATCCCTGTTGTTCCAGGGAACTCTCCAGTCCTAAACAAACTGGAGGGATGGTCATCCTATACAGGAAGGTGCGCCTCTGTTTCACTAAGTAAAAACAAGTAGAGAGAAATATTTGCTCAGATAAAGAGAAAAATGGCATGAATTTTGGCTCTATGACACACAGAATGACCTTTCTCCCCCAATAACCCTTCTCTATGACTTAGAGAATAAACTTTTCTTCAAGTTCCATAACCTCTCTCCCATAAAGCCTTTCAAAATACTAATCAAAAACTGATTAATGTTTAGGTGTTTAGGTGTTCAGGTGAATCATTAATCATAGGAGTTTCTGTTTGTATTTAATTTTGAAATCACACACACACACACACACACACACACACACACTACATAAGAAAATAAATACTATTGTTTTCATTCAAGAAACATTTTGAATAAGTAGCTATTAATATTCTATTATCTAAAACAACTAAACAATAATTGGCTAATCCAAAAGAGTATGAAGTATCATTTTGGAGTTCAAGATCTATGGCATCATACTTATATCTAAAGTATAATAAAATGGTTTAGTCCATACATCCATATGATATTGTTCAATCAAATTCATAGATTCATTTTTTCCACTATTATTTCTATCAATAAAGTGTGAAATTGGAAAGCAAAATTCATAAAAGTTAAGCCAGGTGTGGTGTCACACACCTATAACTCCAGATAGGCTGACAGGAGGGTCATAAGTTCAAGGTACGATCCTGTCTCAAAAAGGAAAACTAATGCCATACAGAAACATTTTAGTCTGATGTAATTCCATTTATCTATTCTTTCTTTGATTCATTGTGCTTCTGGATCTTTACTCAGAAAGTTTCTGCCTGTGCCAAGGAGTCCTAATGTTTCCTCCTACTCCTGCCTGTACTCATTTCATGGTTTCAGGTCTTACATTGAAGTCTTTGATCCATTTTGAATTGACACTGATACAAGGTGATAGATAGGGATCCAGTTTTAGTTTTTTGCATGTGGCTATCCAATTTTCCCAGCACCATGTGTTCAAGAGGCTTTCTTCCAACCCGTGTTTTTAGCTTTCTTATCAAATACTAGATGGCTATAGGTCTATGGATGTGTTTCTGGGTCTTCAATTTTGTTTCCATTGTTCCTCAGGCCTGTACCAAGCTATTTTCTTTACCATAGCTCTGTCGTATAGTCTAATGTTTAGAAAATGCTAAACCTCTAACACCCCTGTTTCTGCCCAGGATTACTTTTGCGATTTGGAACCTTTGGTGGTTCCATATGAATTTCTGGATTGTTTTCTCTTTATCAATGAAGCGTGGTATTAGGATTTTGATGGGAATTGCACTGAATTTGTAGATTGCTTTGGGCAATATTCCTATTATCATGATACTAATTCTACCAAACCAGGAGCACAGAAGTCTTTCTACTTCCTTATTTTTTCTTTGATTTCCTTCTTCAAAATTGTTTAGTTTTCATTGTAGAAGTCCTTCACATCCTTGGTTAGATTGATTCCTACAGAATGGGAGAAGATCTTTGCCATCTCTACATTGGACAAAAGCCTAATATCTAGAATATACAGATATCTTAAGAAACTAAGCTCTCAAAGAATCAACAACCCAATTTACAAATGGGAAAACAAGCTAAGTAGAACCTTTTCAGAAGAAGAAGTATAAATGGCCATATGAAGAAATATTCAGCATCTCTAGCCATAAGGGAAAAATGCAAGTCAAAACAATGCTGAGATTCCATCTCACCCCAGTTAGAATGGCCATTATCAAGAATACAAACAACAAATGCTAGCACGGATGTGGGTGCAAAGGAACCCTAGTACACTGTTGATGGGAATGTAAACTTGCCCAACTACTGTGGAAAGCAGTATGGAGGCTCCTCAAAAAAAAAACTAAACATAGAACTACACTATAATCCATAATTCCACTCTTGGCATTTATCAAAAAAATTATGAACTAGGAGATAGTAAAGGCACCTGCACAACCATGTTCATTGCAGCACTACCCACAATAGTGGCTGATATTAAACCAGCCCTCAATGTACAAATGGATTGAGAAAATATGATACATATAGACACAATGGAATTTTATTCATATATTAGAAAGAATGGTATTACACCATTTGCAATTAAATGGAAGGATCTGGAAAAGTCATGTAAGTGAAGTAAAGCAAACTCAGAGAGACAAAGGATACATAATTTCTCTCATATGTGGGACCCAGAATTAACTTATAAATATATAGGTAAACATTTTTAGATAATATCCAAATATACATAAAGGAAAGGGAAGGGAAAATAGTAGAGAAAGGGGAAGGAGAAAGAAAAGGAGAAGCAAAAGAGAAGAGAAAAAGAAATCAACAAATTGAACCTTCCTAGGTAAGGCACAAAGAAACTACTATCTAGAATGATCACCTAAGGCCTTGCTCCATTCCAGCTTCTCCAAAACATAGAAACTGAAAGAAATTTAAAAACACATATTTTTAAAAACTCATAGCTAATTCCAAATAATAATTCTAAATATACAAGCTATTGAAAAGTCAAAATAATGCATGTAGCTTAAGCTGGAACCAATGTGTACAAATGCCCAGTAGTTGAATGAATAAAGTAAACTTCAGTAGATACTAAAGATTGAATTTTTTGCTTCTTTTTCAGATAGCTTGTATCTAATATAGTCTTTAAAAGTTTACTTGATATACACTATATTCATGCATGAAATATCACAATTAAACCCCTCAATTTGTATAATTAATTTATAAGATTAATACAAAGAGAGGAAAAAGTTTACTTTGTGTAACATAACATTTATTTAAAATTAAAAGACCATAATCCCATTAATGTCCTCTATGGCTGTTAATATTCTACAGATATGTATATCCTTATTTAGTCTTTCACACAGAAAAACGAATATTAAATAATTATTTTCTGAGTATAAGTAGGTATTGGTGGCCCCAATGAATCTGTCCCATCAGTACTATGTCTTTCCGTGGTCCCCTCCACATCTTCTCTGGGCTTGGCCATGCGACTTGACTTGACCAAGGCATGTTATACTGAGAACCCAACCAACAGATAGAACAGAAGCTCCAGGAGCATTATTCAGGTCCAGCATTTATTCCAGCTAGTGCTCAATACTCAAGTCAACTAGCTGAGGCCTCAGACATGGTGAAACAGAAATAAGCCACTCCCCCAATGCAAACCCAATATGAGCAAATAAAACATCATTGCAAGGTAGTATGGTATGTAGCAAAGGATTTTTTTTCAAGAATCTCTTGTTTGCCCAGTGACAGTAGTTGACTTAGGACTAAAAGGCCATTTCTATCTTCATTAAACTAACCAGAATTTCTAGTTGTTTAAACACTGAAATAGACCTTTCCAGAAACCCTGGACCACAGATGAAGCATCAAAGCTTCCAAGGGAAAAGCTAAAGTTGACTCTCCTCAAAAAAGATAGCAGAGACTAAAGCCACCATCCCTGTGTCTTCACTGCTGCCTTCTCTGCCTCTTCACAAGAAGGGAGCATGCAGAGAAGGGGTGCCCTCAGTCCTCACCAGAGCATGCCATGATGCCCAGATAAATCCTCCTTTGAGTTTCGATTCCTTTCAACTCTGCCTTTAAGTTCCTCATTCCAGGGGCATTAACAATTCCCCTTTAAATATTTATGTTTTCAGTATTACACTAATCAAAAGTTTCATTGAAAGGTGATCTGGTTTCAGTGTAGGTGAGGTATGTTCTCATTCACCAAGATGATAAGATGATTATGATGATCAGGTAGCTCCCAGTCACAAGGTCTAATAAATCATCCCAATGGCATGCCTCAATTACTATTCTCTCCCATGGTCTTTAATCAATAAATGCTTTTTAAAGAGTTTTTGTGTTAACATACATACCCTCTGAAGTGTTTGTATACCCTAGCAATGTTGGGTATCTGACCTAACTACATGCCTGAGTTCACCCCCTGTGGGTGACTCACTCCATCACATTTATTCTATTACAACACACACCTGTCACCATCACTCTGCAGAGGATTAGAGAGTGTCTAAAATGCAGTAATGAAGTCATGGCAAAAGGAAAAGACAGCACCTCTAATACTGTCAGAGATGAGATGACCGAACCATTCTTTGGAGTTTTATATGAGAACCTGTGTGTGTGCATGTGTGTGCACGTGCACATGTGTGCATGCATGTGTAGTCATTCTAGTATACAGATTAGCTACCAAAGCTTCTCTTTGAAATTTTAATATGAATTCATCTAAAAGAATCATGAATCACCTAATAAAACTATGAGTCTACGCTAATTTTAACCTGTGTATAGACAACTCTCACACATGTGACATATGTACACACATAGTAGTAGACATGGTTAAAATAGTAACTACCTTTGACTACACTCGTAATCTCATCAAATATTTGTCATAACCCTACAGGACATTGCCTCCATCTTCTAATTGAGGAAAGTGAAGCTCAGGGGGAATGCATTGACTAATCCATGGTCATAGAACAATTTTGGTTATTACCAGAATTTGTACCCAACATATTTGTGTCATCAGACAAGTCAAAAAGGGTTGTCAAAGAGTGATGTAACATCAAAAAGCATGAACAATTCATTTTAGAGGATTTGCTTTTTGGGGGGGGAGAGCCAGTTCTGGGGCTTTAACTCAGGGCCTGGGTACTGTCTTTTTCTCAAGGCTAGCAGTCTATCAAATGAGCCATAGTGCCACTTCCAGCTTTTTCTGTTTATGTGGTACTGAAGAATCTAACCCAGGACTTCATGCATGCTAGGCAATCACTCTACCGCTCTATCACTCTACCACATTCCCAGCCCTGGACAATTCATTTTAAGGAACACTTGATGACAATTTTTATCTAAGACTTCAATTCAGGGATAAGAAGTCTGAGTTTTCCCTTTTGAAAACTCAAGCAATTAGTGAGGCAACTAGTTTAACCTCATTTACACAGTACAAGAACTACATATATAGGGATGGGAAGGGGAAACAAAGGAGGAGGCTACAATACTTGATAAGAAATGTACTCAGTATCTTGCCCATGTAATTGTAACCCCTCTGTACAGTATTTTCATAATAAAAAATAAATAAGAGCTGCATATATAATACATATGGTTGTTCTCTCTCTCTCTCTATATATATATATATCTTGTCTCACCCTCCCACTTGCACATATATGTGTGTCTGTATGTATATGTCAGAAACAAACATTGATACTCCAAGTGGAGTATCTGATGCCTTTAATCCTAGTTACTCTAGAGGCTGAGATCAGGAGGATCACAGTGTAAGGCTAGCCCAAGGGAAAAAAGTCTGTGAGATCCTATCTCAACCAACAAAAAGCTGAGCATGATGACCTGGATCTATCATTCCATCTAGGCAGGAAGTATAAATAAGAGGATCACTATCTAGGCCAGCCTGGATATAAATGTGAGGCCCTATTTTTTAAAATAATAATAATAACAACAACAATAACAATAGAAAAAAGACTAGGGGCATGGTACAAGTGGTAGAGTGGCTACCTACTAAACACAAGTACCTGAGTTCAAACCCCAATAACACACACACACACACACACACACACCACCGAGAGAGGGATAGGAATTTATATCCAAGAACTACTACCTACCTTCTCTTTACCCAGATCTTGAAGCACCCAATGCCCTATAGACAGAAATGTCCTCTTAGCTTGTGACTACCCTAAAACTACACTAACTGGCAGGAAAGGGTCAGATTATTTCCCTCAAGATCTTGTTTCAAGTTCAGTTTCAAACCCAGAGTATCTCACACCTTAAATGTTTGCCTAGTTATTCTCACTCCTAGTTTCTATCAAAATTCTTTCTCCACATATGCACAGGGAACATAAAAAGACAAGAAGGATGGAGAGGCAGTAGTAATATTGGACAGTTCATTGTTCTGGCAAACATTTTTAACATCCATCAGTGGTAAATATTTTATCTAGAGTCATATCACAGAAACCTGTGGTGAAGACTTTCCTGTATCATACCTTAGGAAGCAGCAGTTAAGTCCCCACCCAGTCCTTCATCTTTGTAAAGCCGGGGCTTCTCAAATATTAATGCACATACACACCTGGGGAGCCTGTTGAACTGCAGATTATGATCTGGTAGCTCTGGTTTGGGACTTGATATTCCACATGTCTAACATTCTCCCGGAGGAGGCTAATCCATGGACCACATTCTGTGTAATGAAGTGATAGTTATGGATGATTCCAGCCCATCACAGCTTGACAGGTCCCCTCCATTGAATGTCATACCTATACGTCGGTTTCAACAGATTCAATACAGAGCACACTGGGTCAACCACACAGCCCACTGGAGTCTCATCAGTATGGTCTTATTCAACTCAAGCTGAGCCTGCAAGAGCACAGGCTAAGTGAAGCCTTGCTGGAGGATGTTGTTCAGGTTCTCATCAAGGAGAAGGTGGCAGAATGAAGTCTGGAAATTAAGAAGATCAATCATCTTGCTCAAGTTATTCCTTGGTTCAAGCCACAAACACCTCACAACAATTCACATCCAATAGAAAGGATGGAAAACACCTGTCCAAGGTGGTTTATTGCGTTAAGCCAGCATAGTAACTAAATAGTACACCTCCATGTACATGCCAGGATGTATGCACTACTCAAGAAAAATCTCCCACAATTCTCTTCAAGGACTATTTGTGTACTCCACAAGCCAAACGATGGCTGAAGTTTTAAGAGAAAACAACTTTAAAAAGAACTGTAAAACATGCCCTAAATCCAGGTGCCACTGGATTAGGGCATTACCTGACATACGGAAATGTAACCCCACTGTACAACTCCTTAATAATAACGATTTTGAAAAACCCAAATGGAAAGACTTGGAAAAAAATAAATTAAGTGAAGTAACCCAGGCCCAAAGAAACATAGGTCCCATGGTTTCCCTGATTTGCAATAACTAGTATACATCTAGGATAATCTTACCAGACAAGCAGAAAAGGTCAAAAGCTATTTACCTATGCACATATAAGATGATGCTAAGTGAAATGAACCCCAAGATAGGGACACAAGAGGTTTTATCTTTGTCGCTGTTGTTTTTAATGTACTATGTGATTTTTTTTGTTTCTTTTGCATATTCTTCCTCTGTGGTATAACCCCTGTTTTCACTGTATTTGATTCCAGTGCCCTGCATCTTGTATACACATCTTTCTAATTTGGGGAGGGGGAAGGGAAATAATAAAATGCTGAAACAAGGATACAGGTTGACCCATTGTAAAAATGAGGTGTATAAGACACTATGTTAAAAATTAACTTTACAAACTGGAGGCGGGAGGGAGGAGTTGGGGAGGTGGAGAGAGAAGGGATGGTAGGGGAAAAACAAAGGAGGGGGTAACAATGCTCAATAGGAAATGTACTTATTACCTTACTAATGTAACTGTTACCCCTCTGTACAGTATCTTTACAATAAAATATATTTTAAAAAAAACATTCTATTTAAAGAACAATTAAAAGAGAAAAATAGCTTTTGTGACAGTCAAATATACATGTAAAAGTCCTAATAAAAGTGATACCTAAACACGGAAAAAAGCAACATTTTTAACTATGCTAGTATTTCATAATTTAACAAATGTGTGTAACTAAATACACAAATTAAATATTATTCTTCCAATAAAAATATGCCTAAGCAAGGAAATCAAAAGTGCCTAACCCAATTAAACCGAGTCAGCCAAGACTAGTTGCAATTGCAGTTGCTACTGATATCGGTTTTCTTTGTTTTTAAGAAATTTGGGGGGGGGGTGGTGAGGGGAGGATGGGAAGGGGAAACAAAGGAGGAGGCTACAATGCTTGATAAGAAATGTACTCATTATCTTGCCCATGTAATTGTAACCCCTAAATACACAAATTAAATATTATTCTTCCAATAAAAATATGCCTAAGCAAGGAAATCAAAAGTGCCTAACCCAATTAAACCGAGTCAGCCAAGA